CCTTTGATTTCCATGGTTTTGTTGGCCTTTTGTGGATGCGTTGACTGCTGCTTTTAAAAGTATCAAACTTGCCACTTCCGAGTCGTAGGCGAACAGTCATCAGTCGCTCGATGACGCTTGTTGGTTCCCCCACTAGCTGGCCTTTTAGGCAATCGGATATTACAAATCCCACCCCATGTTCACCTGATGCTGAGGCGGCGTTGCCCACCCAGCAGAACTTGTAACCAGCACCTACTTCATGCAACTAAACTTGCTCAGGGAGACGAGTCCCACTGAGCGCTGCAATATCGACGTGATAGCTGGCAAGTTCCATTGCGACCAGTGCAGCGCATCGCTCGCGGCGTTTACTCGTGTGCCGGTCCAGTAGAGTGTGCACGTTCCAGCACCCGATGTTGAGTGCTTTGCAAGCAGACATACGATTGTATTGGTGGGCAATCTCCCGCGAGGTGACTGTTGTGCTTCGGAGGTTTGCTTGAGGGACTTCAGCCAGAGAATTTGGCTCAATAGCCTGACGCACAATGTGATGGGGGGTTTGGAGATTTGCTTGAGGGACTCTGCGCGGAGCCTTTGACTTAATAGACTGACACACAAGGCAGTGGGAAGCAGGTCCACTTCGGGAATGTAAGTGCAGATACAGATTGAGATCTGCTTGAGGCCTGTTATACGCAGCCTGTGAAGTTCTGAAACAACTTATATGGGTTTTACTACTGTGGTTGCATCTGCGACCACGGCAGACGCATGTGGGTTTTGACGGGTTCGTACCAATTGTGCCAGGGGCTCCCTGGTTTGAGACGGGCGGTAACAAACCAATGAGCACCTGGAGGTGCCCTCCCACCGTCAGAGACAACACGAGGCGCTCGTGCTCTACGACAATCGAGGTGTGAGCTTAAAGCCCGTAGACCTGCTGTCTCCTATGGCTAGGTTTTACGGGAAGAGGGCCATCGATCAGTTCCTAACCTTCGATTAGGATGCGGTTTGACTAGGACACTGGGAGGGCGCCCACTCCTGACAGGAGAAAGACTCGGTTCCTTAGCCGAAGCTTTTGATTAAATTCACACCTGAAAGACATTGGCTCTAGCATATGGCCAGTTCACTAAGTTGTGTGGGTTGGTGTCCTGGATCTTAGCAAGGAGAAGGGCGTAACCGTACCCCCACTCAGCGGTCGCCACGAGGAGGCTTACAGGATATGAGCCCATGGCACAACAGTAGCAGCAGTAAGTAAACCATCTAGCAAGATTTAGCCACCACAAGCCTCAGTGCATAATCATTTTGATGAGAACAATGCGACGATTTGCGCATTGGTGTCGGAGAAGAAAGCAATATTTGCTTCACATGTGGCAGACCCCACTGACTTGGGGAAGGAGATTAGGCTTGGCAGAATTCGACGACGACTGGTCCGAGAACTCCATCGAATTAAAAATGTATGTTGGACGGAGAAAGCGAAGCAAATGGAATGCTACACCGAGCGCCGCCAACACGAGTAATTCTCTGATTCCTTGAATGCGGTGTATGGGCCGAGGTTGGAGCCGCCGAGGACGCTAATCGATGATAGTTCAGGCATTATCGGCACACAGAGTACAGGCGTGGTGCAGATCTAGCAAAAGAAAAGCTTTGACAGTTTCCTGAACAACCGTTTGGAGATTGACTGGCCTACTTTGAACGGCCTGAAACAGCGCGATGTGAAGGTGTCGAGCGGACACGTCGACACTGCATGAGATGCAGAGAGCACTTGCTTAGCCGTGAAACGGCAAGTGCGCCCGTTCCGACGGGATCCAGCCTAAATTATTGAAACACGGCGGATCTGCGTTGGTGAATGCGCTGCACCACTTTGTGCAACACGCGTGGATTGAGAAGCAGGTATCTCCTGAGCTGAAGGATACCCTTGTGCTACCACTGTACAAGGGCAAAGGAAGCAAGCGATTTGCCACGAATTAGCGTGGTATCAACTTATTGAGTTGTGTAGGCAAGGTGGTTTCCCGAATCCTGCTCAACCGCCTCGTCAGTCAGATTGAAGAACCGAACCTGGTGGAAGATAAATGTGATTAGGTTGGTGTCGCAGCACCATGGATATGGTGTTTGCGGCTCTTCAGTTACAGGCGAAGTGTAGAGAACGACACCAGCCGTTGTACTTGGTTTTGGTTGATTTCACCACTGTATTTGATACGATGAACCGCGAGGCATTGTGGCTGGTGTTGGGTAAGTTTGGTTGTTCAGGAAAGTTTGTAAGTTTAATTGTATGTCTGCCAATGTGACCGGCTATAGGGTCACTGACCACTCATTTCTGTAACCAGAGGTGAGTATATAACGGGGAGCGGATGAACAACATTGTTGGCCACCGAATTCTCTGTGGACTGCTACTGAACACAATGAAGGCGAAGGAGCCACCCAGATGTCAACGGTCTTCATTAATCGCCCTGCTGCCTTGCAAGTCAGGTCTTTATGACCAAAAGCTAGGGGCGGGGTCGCTTAAGTCAACCCTCTTCCTCGGTCTGGACAACCGGGAAGATCTCTGACCAAACAACAACTTGGCCTCCTAAACTTTCCAAATCTTTTCACTGACTAACCATTTCCCCCCTTTCATAGTTGTTAACTATGTTTTGTAGCGCTGCCAATTGTACATTGGTCAAAGGTTGATTAATAATAATAATTTACAGTGGTATGCGGTTGAGGATGCATCTGAGTTGACAGACCTCGGATGACGCAGCAGTTATCTCTGGTGTGAGGCATGGTTGTGACTTACCTCCTGTCCTTTTTAATATTTATCTTTGTTCTATGACGTCATGTGCGTTTGAGGCGGCTTGTGCTTACGGTGTTCGTGTGGAGCACCGTATTGATGGTGGGTTGATGAACATCCGTTGTTTCGGTGCGAGAACTCTAGTCTGTGAGACAACTATCCGTATGTTGCTAGTCGCTGACGACTGTGCGTTTTTTTCACACACCGCGGATGAGTTGCAGCACATGACTAGTGCTCTGACGTCGACAGCGGCCAAATACGGGCTCACCATCAACACTAGCAAAACTACCTGTCTCTTTCAGCCTTCACCGGAGGTGATGACATATTGATAATCTACTCCCGCTTCTGCCACCTTGGGAGTGTGATGTCGACTGACCAGTAGCTACACAATAAGCTGCGTATCCGCGTGTCGAAGGAAGCGGCGGCATTCGGGAAGCTAGAGTACCGAGTGTGGAACAACCATCAGCTTACCATTGGCACGAAGCTGATGGAGCTGTCCGTTCATCTATACGGCAGTGAAACGTGGAGGATGTACCGGCGAGACGTGAGATATCTCGAGCGGTTCTATGGAGAATGTCTGTGACGGATTTTGCGCATCGGTTGGGACGACAGAGTTGTAGTCACGGAAGTGATGTGCCGAAGAGGAATGTCTGCAGTGGCCTGCATACTTTTGCTGAGACACCTGAGTTAACCCCTTCATCGGAGCCGTATGGATTTGACGCGGATACCGAAGTAGCTATTATATGGTCAGCTGAGTATTAGGAAGCGGCACGCGGGGAAACCGAAGCTTCGTTACCGGGATATGATCAAACTGAGCTTATAACGTTCTAATGTTGATCTCAGAAGTTTGGATTTGAAGGCGGTTGATCGGCGTGCATGGCGCGATGTGATCACGAAGGCAGTTGCCGATGTGTCAGAGAATGTCTTCCTGCATGCATTGAAGAAGCGGCAAGTGCGGAAGCGACAGGTGCAGATAGGTTTTATTCCATCGACTTCGACCGCATGGTGTTGTAGCACATGCGGTCGAGAGTGCCTGAATCAGGCAGGCCTAGTAAGCCACCAACGAAGCCACTCGCAACCAATCCCGAAACAACGACGAGTGATGTAGAGAACGTAGGCAGAACCGGCGTAGCGTTATTAGATACATTGCATTCGATTTACTAACCGCTTGCTTACATGCTGAAGTCACTTTATTTCAGGTGGTGAGTTTGCAATATTGTAATAATGTCTTTTAATCTCAAATTAACATCCATCTGAACTATCTGAACTATCTGAACGTATCTTAAACTATTTTAGTTTACTTCTATAACATAATCGCGTTTGTAGCATTTTCTTAATATATATTTCCTGACGTCTTGAACCTAGAGCGCATTTGTTCTTAACCAAGTTTTTCTTATGCTTGTTTATTAGAGTGTTATGTCTGTATATCCATATGCATTATTTGATTTAATTTTTTTGTTATCGTTCGAAGTGTTTGGCTGTTGCTTGATATCACCGGAGTGGCTGCTCTTGATGTACATGTTGACAATTTGCCTACCTGTCTAGTACCCACCACCTCGTCGATTCTGGTTCCAGGAGACAGTTAGTCGTTGCTGGAGGGGACGGGGTGAACGGTCCTTTTGGCAGTGCTAGGCTAGAAGAGTGGTTCAATGCCTTCGGTGTGGAGCGAATTTCGGTCCAGCCACCGCCTTGTGTGCGCTTGATTCGTCAAATACAGCGTGCATGTGTTTGCCTGTTAAATAGTGTGAGCTGGGTCCGTTGATGGAATGTGGCTCCCATCCGAATGTCTACCGGTCTTATTTTTTCGGGTTTACACTGGCTATGGGGTGTGTGAATGCAGCTGTGGGTGATGCAGCACAAGCCACCCAGGGTCCCTCTGTAGGTGCAAGCTTTCTGTGGATGTTCCCGTGGAGGCTACCGTGACAAATCCGGAACCGGATGCCGCCAACCATATACATAGGCAGTTGTCAAAACTTAGACCTAGAGCCATCGAAAACCATGGAATGAATTGGCAAAGTAAGTACAATGATCACGAAGCTAAAAGCTTACCAATAACAGAACGAAGCAGACAAAAGTTGCCGAAAAGTAAGCGTCTTGCATGAACATTCAGAGTAAAAGAAAAGTGATGCGTGCGATACCGAGAGTACAGTAACAATGTTGTACTCCAAAAATCCACAGTTTATATTCCATAGAATACTATGTGCTATTAGTCTATTACATGTACCCTAACTAGTAACAGGATATGGAATTGCTCAACTTAACTTACAGTGTTCAAAATGATCCACTCCCCGAGAATATGCAAACAGATTTTGGCACCCGATATCCGATACGTACACAGCATTTTCATTGACAAATAGGTTCTTTGGATGTAAGTTTCTGGAAAAATGCTAGTAAGGCGACATTTCAATCTTTCTTACTCACAAACATAAAATACCAGAGGATTTCAAGCTGTTTAGTAACTCCAGTAGAAAGCCGAAAGTGCGAAATATTAACTGGGGTGCGGTGTTAGGAACGTCCGAATCAAACCCTCCGTTCGATTGAAGTCCGCTTGTAACTCTTCAGAAGTAAATCATTTAAACTCGGTATAGCAATAAATTTTCGCAGAGTTACTACGTAGATCGCAGACGTCTGATCAGGCATTGTAGGTAAATCCGCAATTTACTTTCTTATCAGTAGCGATGAAACATTTTTTTAACCTGGGGACGCACACGTGCTTGAACTTTTGAAAACAAGTAATTTCTTTCAGAATCAGTTCCGCATGAGTTCGGTCTAGGCACTCCATCTAAATTTTTAACGTTAACCTTGTATTCAATGAAGGGAACCATTTTTAGCACGTAGACAATTCCCGAGGAGGTTGATTTTAATTTAAAGGAAAAACCAAGCGTCCCTTTCTCCAACATCCCTATCACCTGTCATACTAGAGATGACATCCAATTTTAAACCCCACTTCATATCCCTTCAGGAACAGCTCAACACTATTAATGTTCAGCATGGTAACGTAAACGTGTGGCCAGTACCTGGATAAAAATGTTGGTTATTAATTAAAACTAGTAGTGACAATAGCAGAGGATCAAAGTTAGAAAACTGTCCCATGCCAAAGAGAAGACAGCGATGGGCGTGAAGTGCTGTATTCCGGTACATGTTCAATCTGAAGTGGGAAAGAACGACATGAAAATCCCACCAGTGTTCCTTCTTCAGCCAACATTTGAACCGGGAAATGATGAAGTCCCTTGAAATCTGTTGGACCTAACACGAAAACAGCATCACGCCAAAGCCAACAAATACAGCATACGATTCCTACATCAGCAGTTATCAGTTATGAAAGACAAGGAAGGAGAAAGAGCAAAATCAGAAGGCAAGAAATAGAACGTAAATAAATAATTAAAATGCCAAATTTTTGTAGTCGGTCCGTGTCGCCTTCTACGTTGGAGTCCCGTCTTGTGCTTGAATCGGGACGTTACACTAAATGGCTCGCACTTGACACCAGTTGCACATCTGCTGGCCACTCTTAGTCAGACTGATTGCTTAAGGTGTGTTTGGTGCTGAGTTATCTGCGGGGTAATAGCTTGCTATAATGCGGGACAGTGAAAAGTGCGACGTAGCTGTCTCGCCGGTACCGTGTTATCTTTGCACGATGTTTAGCTGTTTGTAACGGCATGTTTTCAATATAGGCGTGGGCGCCTTGACCCTAAATGTTTATTTAGAGCACTAACGATTTACGTTATCTCCCCTTTTCTCCTCATATTATTCATCGTCATATGGCAGCGAAGCATCAGTTTGAATAGTGAGATACTGCTACTGCTGTGAATGCAAATAACGAACCAAAAAGGATAACACCGGAAGCGAAAGAGAGCAAATTAAGAAAAATGGGGGGTTGGTTTAACCAGCCGAGAACAAAGATGAACAATTAACAATGAACGATGAATTTCTACGAGTTAAGAAGCGTTACTTTACAAGTCTCGTCGGGTAGTTGGTGGTGATATCAAAAGCAAAATAAAAATAAAATAATAGCAAAACAGTCAGTACAATAACTATGAAAATAAGGACTTATCGTTTGTTCCGCTGTAGTCCTGCAATCCACTTAGGTTCACAGCACCCACCGTTAATATCAAATAACTCAATGGTAAACTCCAGATGTAGGATGGAGACGTAGCGCTAAGTGACAAAGTGTAAGTGGATGAGTGTGTCACCCAACCGTCTTTTAAATACTGTTAGTGTCGGTGCAGAGACAACCGATTCTGGGAGTGCATTCCACGGGTGACAGACACGAATGGAAAAGAAATTTGAGCGACACTCCAGGCGACTATATTGTTCTGCGACTTTTAATGTGTGGACCCTCATGGCTGTATTGGTGTTGAGTCGAAGTAAAGGGTGGCAAACATGATGTGTGTCTCGCAGAATCAAGTATGCCATAATCAGGTTGTCTCGTAGTCTGCGGTAGCTTCCACGGAATACCCCAATCTTTGCAGCCTCTCATGGTATGTGTTGCGGGCCCGTCAAAAATCCCCGCAGAAAACGCGCCAGTAACTCCGGCATAATGGCTGTGGGAAGCGGAGTCCAATTTCTCCCCACAACGCAGCAGTGTTCAGCCACTCCGAGGAGCGTCCCAACTGCGAACCTTTTGGCAATGGTCATTTGCAAACTACCACCTCTGCGTGGTGACTTTTTTCCCTAACTTAATAACCCATAGCACTGGCTGTGATCGCCCTTTGTCGGTCGTAAAAGAGCCTACAGAGGACGATTTGTCTTTTTCTTTCTCTTCGCCTCAGTCGGTCGGGTCGCGTGATTGCGTGTGAATCGTTAGCTGGCCAGCCTTCGCGCCTAAGTCATTAGCGTGCGTCTATCGTACCCCTCTCGTGTGCGTCCGTTTTCGAGGCCTCAGCGTCTATACGAACAAGTGCGGCTAAGATCGTTCCCAGGCTCGTTCAATTTTCCGTCTCACCGGCTAAGCTAGCGTCATCGTAGGCGTGCTCCAACCGTGCGAGCGACAATCTTGTCACGCAATTACCTCAAGAGGCGGCGTTCCCTCAATCATAACATTGGCGACTCAACTATAACAGTATGAAAGATTTCGCATTCCAATTACGTTCGTAAATGTCCGACGTTGTGGCTGCTCCAGTGCATTAAAGTCGTGTTTGAGCCTTGGATGTCAGGCTTGAATTGCGAATTCGACATGCTGATGAACATACGCACCGAACATTTGTCGAAATTTGGAGCTGTTTATTTGTCCAAACGTCCGTCGCAATAGCCCGACTTGTTGGTTTCTAGGCTTTGAGGCCTATTCAGATTGCCTGGGGTGACCCAGGTGCGCTTGAGCCAGGACACCCAAGTCACGTTCGACAATTAACTGTTGCAGTGCATTCGTTCCAAACCGGTATGAGTAGCTGCTTTGATGTCGGATGGAAAGTACCTTGCAATTACTTACGTTGAAATGCAGTAAATTTTTTGCTTGACGATTGACATACCGTAATTAGGTCCCTCTGAAGCAGATGTTGGTCGACGTTCGCCTGGATCCCGCACCAAATCTAGATTTCCTTGGCAAATATTAGACGCTTTTACGGACATGGCTGTGCTGTGTAGCTTGTGAGCAGCTAGAACGAAAACATTGGGGAGTTCGAAGCGGTTCCCTATACGCGGTCATTAATAAACACCAAAACTAACGTGGAGGAAGAACTGAGTCTTGCAGCACACAACATTCCATAAAGAACTGCGAACTCTTACCACTAATTGCCGTTGAAGTAGAAAGTTAGCAATCCAGCTTAAAAGAGGGTCGTCAATCCCGTGCTGCTGGAGCTTAGAGAGTAGTATCCGATGGTCCAGACGATGTAAAGCCTTCGAAAAATCCAGCTAGATCACCCCAACACTTTCTCCAGAGTCAGCTGACTCGGTCCAACTTTTGTGTGCGATTAGTAAATTCGTTGTGCATGACCGCTATCGACAGAAGCCGTGCTGCTCGGGCGTGATAGTTTTACACTATTCCAGCTAACACACCAGGGCATCGGCAACTATGGATTCCATGACCTTGATGAGTATAGGAAGTAGGGGGATTAAGCGGTGGTTGGAGGGATCAGTTCTGCTTCCAACTTCGTGAATCGGGGTTATTAATTCAAGCTTCCACATCAAGGGAACTTGATTGTGGTCTAACCAGCGCTGGAGAAAGTGAGCTAAAGGTCCTGCCAGTTGGATTGCTGCTGTTTCCAGTGCTTCTGGACGAATGGTGTCAACACCCGGCCAACTGTGCTTGCGTAGAGAAGTCAGCGTTTGCAATACAGACTCCGCGGTAAAAGTGATGTAGGTTAGTCCTGGCAGAGAAACTACAAAGGTTGGAAGATCGCTTGGTGGCAAGACCCTCTGAAACGTGGGAACATATTGCATCCGCAGCACGTTTCCTGCTTCCACAGTTGTTCTTGTTGGGCCGTCAGCCATTCTGAGTGGAGGAAAACCTTGCCTCACCTTTCGTAGGCTATTAACATGTTTATACCGCAATTTGTGGTTAGCACTGAAGGTTTTTACGATATTCTGCTAATAGGCGGCTTTGTCTTCTCTTAGCAGTTGAGTGCGGTAGTTACGTTGGGCTGCGTAGTTCTTCCAACTATCTGGTGCTGGAGTTCCTTTATACACTCGCCATACTGTGTTGCGTACTGTCATTCATTTCGAGTACTCTTCTTAACTAAAGAACCTGAGGTATGCTTATTGCAAACTCTTCTCTAAAGCGTCTGCAATCAACTGACTGAATTTTTTGACGAACTCGAGTCAGGCGACTTCTGGGGGTTCTTCGGCAAGGAACGATCAACGTGTAGCGATGACGAGCTGGGCTAATCGATAGTAGCTTGTGATGGTTCGCACAGTCTCATCGTTCTCATTCTGCTATTCCGCATAGCAGACGAAGTTGAAACTGATGACTGCGTGATCACTGCGACCCAAAGGGCAGTCTAAAACCAACACATCAAGCATATGCTCCTCGTTGGTAAGCACAAGATCCAGCATAGATGGCTTGTTACCTGTTCTGAACAGAGTGAGCAAAGTGATGTGATTGTAAAGAGGAACAGTGGCTACGAGGTCTTGTAAATCGGCTTTGAATTGTTCTCCAACTGTGGCAGGAGTTTCTACACAATGTACGTTGAAACCACCCATGATAAGTATGTGAGTGTACTTTCGCTATTAACCACCTTAAAGCAGTCGTTAGGTGTTACTTGGTTTCCGGTGTAGAGTTGGGGTATATATATATATATATATATATATATATATATACATATATATATATATATACCCCAACTCTACATATATATATATATATACCCCAACTCTACACCGGAAACCAAGTAACACCTAACGACTGCTTTAAGGTGGTTAATAGCGAAAGTACACTCACATACTTATCATGGGTGGTTTCAACGTACATTGTGTAGAAACTCCTGCCACAGTTGGAGAACAATTCAAAGCCGATTTACAAGACCTCGTAGCCACTGTTCCTCTTTACAATCACATCACTTTGCTCACTCTGTTCAGAACAGGTAACAAGCCATCTATGCTGGATCTTGTGCTTACCAACGAGGAGCATATGCTTGATGTGTTGGTTTTAGACTGCCCTTTGGGTCGCAGTGATCACGCAGTCATCAGTTTCAACTTCGTCTTCTATGCGGAATAGCAGGATGAGAACGATGAGACTGTGCGAACCATCACAAGCTACTATCGATTAGCCCAGCTCGTCATCGCTACACGTTGATCGTTCCTTGCCGAAGAACCCCCAGAAGTCGCCTGACTCGAGTTCGTCAAAAAATTCAGTCAGTTGATTGCAGACGCTTTAGAGAAGAGTTTGCAATAAGCATACCTCAGGTTCTTTAGTTAAGAAGAGTACTCGAAATGAATGACAGTACGCAACACAGTATGGCGAGTGTATAAAGGAACTCCAGCACCAGATAGTTGGAAGAACTACGCAGCCCAACGTAACTACCGCACTCAACTGCTAAGAGAAGACAAAGCCGCCTATTAGCAGAATATCGTAAAAACCTTCAGT